ACAAAACTGTTGCATTTTAAAATTGCGGACTAAATCTCTGAGATATTCTGTTATATTATCATTTATGAAATTATTTAGTAATAACAAAATTCTTTTATCAACTAGTGTATATATTTTCAGCTTTATGGGCGTAAGGCTACCGGCCACAAGGTTTTCATAATACAGACCTCGTAATACAGAAAATAATGTTTCACCAATTATTTTTTGCGCAAATCAGCAGTTTGCATTAATTTTTTTTTATAAAAAATCAAGTCATAATTTTAGATTTATACATGTATATTAACTATCCCTTTGCTTATTTGTGATATTGGCTTTTTTTTTCATTTGAGTATTCTTTTCAGTATTTTCAATTTAGTTAAAAAAATATTGATTTTTTTCCCCTTTTATAAATATTTCATCCTTCAAATTATATCACTGTTCATTTTTCTTTCTTGCATTTCTGTGATAATAGCTATTTAATTTAATTGTATTGCATTACATTTTGCATCTTTCAGACGGCAATATTAGTGTAGAATTCTAGAGAGCAAGTGAATTTTGCTAAAGGCTGTGAAAGAATTTTTGTCCCGAGCTAACATTCCATTGTTGAGGGAAGATAAAAGGGAATTTATATAAAAGGGGAAAATTAAAAAGGAAAAAGGGAATAATTATTGTGAGTAGTAAGAAATCAGGGGCCGGGAAGGTCATCAGACAGTGATTATGTCGCGAGCCTGAGGATTAAGGAGCAGAAAATTTCTTTAGCTGATATTTCAGGCATAGGCGTCTTTTTGAGACGTGCACAAAAATGCTATTTTTTGGCCATTATCTTCCAAACATTAATGACATTATGTTTTTACTGTATCCTATTATATGCATACAATCCTAAGAGAATCATATCACACTGAGAAAAACCCTCCAAATAAACTCTTCCCGGGGAGGAGGGGGGAAATCAGAAGTTCTAGGTAACATTTTAATAATTTTGTGTTTAGTTACAAAAGCTTTTTCTTTTCAAATTTAAGACAGCCAGAGGTATACAATAGGTAAAAAAAATTATTAAACTAAATAAACTTAATATGGCAAGATATAGTATAGGCATGTTAAAGAAAAATATAATCTTGATGGTGAATTGCCCAGGCGGTGAACTGGTCCAAAAGCGAAATGGTGAAGCGGTGGTGAATAGTCTCATCCCCATTATCACAGCTGATCTGGTCTTCAATATTGCATTGCCAGATGGCTTCTTTTCCAGCATATGATTGTTTATTTAGGAAAATTTTTACAAATTCTCTTGCTCGGTAGAGTAACATTTCAAGGAGAAACCTGTAGCATCAATATCATTTGATGGGAGATTAAAAACAGTAATTAAAGAGGGAATTAAAGCAATTAAACATTTGAGATGAAAAACGCTACATTTTTAAAACGAAAACTTTTGCTAGCCGAAGAAATATGAACTGCAAGGAGAATAAGAAAATTGTTATAATTTAAAAATGACAGCGGAAGAAATGCACAGGTGCAAATCAGTAACAAAAAATATTTATTTCTCTCGCTGTTTTTTTTTTTTTATTAATGCGGAAATGCACTAAATCGACGTTCTTGCCAAGCCTGCTACAGAGGACAGGTGCAGTGCGGGAAAAAAAGGGGGGGACAGTTCTATATCTCCCATTCTACTGGGCCGATTGACAAAATTCAACTTGCGTTTTTATGTCTCGAAAGCGCGACTTAGGATATATATTGCATTTATATACAGCATTATTCTAACATAGCTATTCTGACACAAAATCGGACTTTTTTTTGAAATCATACCAATTTTCGTACTTTGATTCTACGACTCAAATTATGCCTAAATATTAAATTTTGTAAAATTTGGTGCAAAATTTACGGAGAAATTCAAAAATTTAGCCTTGCGCATTTTCTTCAGTTTGCGCCAAGAATAATTCACTTGGTGAACTTCTGAATTTATAGCAACCTATTTTCCTTTTTTTTTCTTTGGTAAATGAGTGGGAAGAAGTCATCGTTCATTATTTCATTATTTCAAATAATTTTAATAAAGTGCGTAAATCACATTTGGTGTTATTATCGCTTATAACAAATATGCCAAATTTCAAAGTGCGCCAATATGTAAATTCACTTATATCCTAGGAAATTTTGAGGAAAAAACTCTGATTTTTTGCTGATATGCTAATTACATCTACTTTAAGATGATGGCAAAAATTTTATGGGTTATAATTCAAAATGCTTTTCGAAAAATTTATAAAAAATTATTTAAAAATACAAATTTTAAAAATAATTTATAAAAAATGGCGAATTTTATTTGGAACCTAAATACACTCATGTCCATAAATTAAGGATAATGCAAAATCAGGCAAAGGAAGAGTTAGAAGCAAAACAAATTTGACTTAAAGCTTATTTATTAAACAAAAGGTAAAGAGCAAAAAAAGATGCTGATTGTTTGATATTATTAAAAAAATTAGCGATTTTTTCTCCCTGGAGCAAATTACAAAAAAAAAAAAAAAAAAAAAAAAAAAAAACCTATTTACAAAAAACCAATATTACATGGTTGGTATGATTGTTAATACATTGTATGTCTCCCAGACGATGCAATACAGTCCGTACAACACCTAGGCATGCTGAGTATCAAATTATCGATCAGATCTTGGGGGATATTACACCACTCAAAAAGCAATACTCTCCGAAGTTCCGGTAGACATGTAGGAGGATGTTGACGGGCTGCAACTCGTCGCCAAGCATGTCCCACACGTGCTCTACTGGATTTAAGTCCGATGAGAATGCTGGCCAGTCCATACGGGTGATATCGTTCGATTGAAGGCATTCGCTTACGATGTTTGCAAGGTAAGGACAGGCGTTGTCATCCATAAACACAAATTGTGCGCCCATGGTGCCCCGAAACAAACGTACATGTTGTTCCAGAATGACGTCCCGATAGATTTGGTTTGTCATGGTTCCAATTTGAACATGCAGGTCAGTTCTGGAACCCAGAATAATTCCACCCCAAACGAGCACTCCTGCACCACCGTAACGGTGTCATTCAATGATGTTTTCTTGGTGATAACGGGTAGCTGGAGCTCTCCATATGAAAGTCCAGCGAGAATCAGACTGCAAGCTAAACCTGGTCTCGTCGGAAAACATCACACAAGCCCACTGTTGCGGTGTCCACAATGCATGCTCTCTACTCCAGGCTAACCGCAGGCGGCAGTGAGTTGCAGTAAGTGGAACGCATCTGACAGGTCTATGAGCATATAGACCAATCTGCCCTAAGCATCTGTACAACGGTCTGGCCTTGAAATTGTCGTACCAGTGGTTGAAGAGAGATGACGAGGCAGGTCTGAGGCTGTGCTCCGCCTGTTTCTTTTGGCAGTAACTGCCAAATACCGGTCCTCATTCCATGTTGTAACTCTGGGGCGACCTGTGCTGTAACGTCTACTCACATTACTATCATCATCTTGGAATTGTTGCTAAAGCTTGGAGATGACACTCTGGGCAATTCCAAATTCGTCTGATACTTCCAGTTGGGTACGCTCACATTCCAGACGGCCGATAATTTTACCACGTAAAAAATTATCCAAATGCGTCCTTTGTGTCATAACTATTCGGTTATTGCACTGAAATGCTTATAAAGCACCGAACAATTTTACTTCTTTGCCTGTATTCCTTATATATCACTCTCTTACACTCTCGTCATTGTGACGTACCATCGTACCATCGGTGTTATCTGGTTACTTCCTGAAATTTGCATATGATTCTTGAAGACTTGTGTAGTGATTTTACAGGTGATATATTTATTTTAAAGTTCGATTTCCCCGTGACTCCGAATTATCCTTAATTTATGGACATGAGTGTATATAAACTTAAATTTCGAAATAGGAAAGGAAGAATCAAATAAATTTAATTTATGGACATGAAAGTATATAAACTTAAATTTCGAAATAGGAAAGGAAGAATCATATAAATTTAATAAAGGAGATATTAATATATATACATTAAATTCAAACAATACTAAGGAGCTAAAATTTTGAGAGCTAATTTTTTAAAAACTACTTGTGCGATTATTACTAAACTTGGCAGTTTGGCATGATTTAAGTCGTAAAATCAAAATATGGAAAAAAATTAGCATGTCACATCAGAAAAAGGTCCGATTTTGTGTCAACATACCTATATTAGAACAATGCTATATATAACTCTAACCAGGGCTTAATTTCTAAAATTAAAAGTACCAGAGCCCTATTAATTTTCTAAAATTGGAAGTATCGGAGCCTTATAGAAGACCTTCGAAAAAAGAAGAATAAATAAAATGACTAATAAAGTCATTAATAATTAAAATATTAAATAATTCATTATTAAAATAATTAAATAATTAATGTGATTATTATTTTTTTTCCCAATGACAGATTGTGAACAATTACAAATGTAACCCAGTCCATTAATCCATACAAGGCCGGATGTGGTGGTCTCTTCATTATGGAGGCACCTAATAGGTCACCATCGCCTATTCTAGGAAGGGATGGACAGTTACAACCATGCCTTCTCCGGGATTCGAACCCAGGCCCTTTGGCATCGCAGTCAGCTTTCCTGACCACTGTACCAACTGGGTGGCGTGATTAAAATTAAATAATATACAGAGATAACTTAAAATTTAATAAACAATTTGTAATACAATTTTATTGCTAAAAAATAAAATTTTCAGGATCATGACATTTCTATCTGAAATTGCTTGTTCAGTTACATAAAAGAAGTGCCGCGGCCTTCCTTCTTATTTAGGGCTCCGGTGAGTTCCGGTTATAATTATGAATTTGTCCTCAAAAACTAAAGAAGTACTGGCACAGTTTAAGCTCTGAATCTAATGCATATCCTAAGTCGCGCTCTCGAAACATGAAAAATGCAATTTGAATTTCGTCAATGGGCCTAATTAAACGGGAGATATAGAACTGTTCCCTCCCTCTTTTTTTGGGGGGGGGCTATGTACCTTTGTTTCTTTAAAGAATAAATTATTTGTTTACTCCCCCGTATAGGAGCTGTAAAAGGTGTTGAAGTAAAACCTGGAATGTGGATTTGCAAGGGAGGAAGAGCTAGATGGGTTGATGCCATTAAAATAGAATGTCCGAAATGTAAAAACGTATCATATGAATGAAATAAAGTGTTTTGTTTTTAAAAATGTTCTGTGTCTTATAATTATTTAAAAATGTAATAAAAAGTACATTTTAAAATTAGTTTATATTTTTAAAATATATAATATGTTAATTGAATTATATCAAATATACATTTTATATTAAATAAATCATTATATAAATTCATGATTTTTAAAATTAGAATATTTCAGTAATATTTGTTTTAAAGTTATGTTTGTTAGAATACAAGCATTTATTGTACTTAATATATTTTAGGTAAGATAATTAACTGGTTGTTATGTATAATAGATACAGGGTGTTTATAAAATCTCTATAAATTTTTTTGCTTATCAGGCGTTATTCTGAAATATAAATTATTTACATGAAAATGCAACACTAAATTAGTACAATTAAGTGTGCCCCCCCCTTAGTGTCTGCGCACAATTGCCACCATCCCACTACACTCCGGAACACCTTACGTAAAGTTATTGGTGTAATTTCAGCTGTTGCAGCCATAATTCACTGTTTTAATTGTTCAGTGCTACCAGTCTTTACTTGGTACACTTTGGAATTCACAAAACCCCATACGAAAGGGTCTAAGTCTGGTGATTGTGGAGCCCAAAGCCGTTGAGAGGCACGATCATTAAGATAATTACACACAATAATGGCAAAATGGGAAGGTCCACCATTCTGTTGATAGACAACAGTGTCACTAATGCCATCTGATACTAGCTGTAGCTCAAGATATTGTTGCAACATATCGAGATAAATTTCTCCAGTGATGCACCTTTCTGCAAACATCAATGGTTCACAGAGCTTAGTTATTCCAATCTGTACATTAACTTTAGGTGTATCTTTCTGAGATTCGTATAATAATGTTTGGATGTTCATCAGCCCTCATTCGACAACTATGCCTATTAACATAGCCGCTGAGACGGAGTTCTTGCGTTCTTTATAAGCTTTTAAGAGCATGGTTATAATTTTAAAAAAATGTTTTTTTCTTTATTTAGGAGACATGGTTTACAAAGAGGGAAAAACCATTTATTTTTTCCAAGCAGTCGAAATGAATTTTTATGAAATGTTATATTGTGTTTTTTTTAATTAATTCTTTTTTCAGATTTTATGTAAAGTTTATGAATAAGTAATAAATTATTTTTACTTCTGTATTTTAATTAGCATATTATTGCTTCATAATATTTCACATAAAATTATAAATTCAATAAACTTTTTAATTAACATGCTGTAATATATATATATATAGGGCATAAAGTTTTGTTTTCTGGTGTCACATGTATATTTCACAATTTTGTATGCAAATCTCGAACTTTATAATAAATAGGAATACTTTTTTAGTATCACTTTCTAAATGGTAAATATTAAGCTTAAATTTATTACATATCATTTTTGTAAATCTGTGGAAAGGGGGAATAAAATTATAGGTAAAATTAAAATGCAATTAAATTTTAAGCTAAACTGAAGTACTAATTTTTGAAACAAGTTTGTTAAAGGCAGAAATTGTATTAAGTATTAAGAATTTTAATGGAAGCGAAGGCTTTAAGAAGTTAAGGTCAGTTGGTAAAGTTTTATGCTTATTCAAAAATCATGACATTAGGCTTTTAATGAAAGACTTCTATCTGTTAATTCAAAGGAAATTATTTGAAGGTAAGTTAAAAACGTTATGCATTTACCATCTATTATTTCAAACAATAGCAGACTGTTGACAAACACTAAGTGCAGATAAGAATAAGAATGATTAGTTGGACGTTGTAATGCAAACGTATGAACGAACAAAATTTTGAATACCTTGTAGTAACAAAATGAAATTCATTGCTATGTTGAATTCTTTATTTTACTGAAAATGTCATTTTTTAGATGGAGAGAAATATAATATTTTTGAAACATAAAGAACAGCTGTTCTGAGGTTCTTCATAGAAATATTTCACAAAATGTCTTTTACAGTGTAATAAATGTGATTATCTCAACATGCAACACGTTTACTCATAAGTTAAATCTAAAGCAACATGTGTCTATTATTAGCTTAAAATTACTAAAAAGAAAGTTCTAGAACATATCTTAATAATTGACACTAAAACATGCAAATAATAAAGCATTTTTTTTTTTTTTCCTCAGCTATTTTACAGGCCAAATATAATTCCAGATGCCATTTCGTTATTTTATATAAAGGATATACATGTAATTTAATGTAAGGAGTAGCATATCAATTTGAACTTAATTATCAAATTAAGCTCAAATCGATTATTAATCAAATGATATATATACATACAGATATCATTGTTTTACTCAAAACATATGATTTCAAGGTATTTTATTATAATAAGCATCATTTTAGACAAAAATCTATTACTTTTATAGACATATCCTTTAGTATTTCATCTATGAAAAATATATTCTACACACATATAATTACTTAATGAGATATTAGAAGGAAATAATCTGAAACCTTTACAGATACAACCATTGGAATTTTACGTAAGAATATCTTCTACTCACATAATAACTTGCTGAAATAATACAAGCAAATAACCTGTAACGGTTACAGATATATCTGTTGAGATTTTACATGAGAAAAATATGTTCGTTTTACGTAATTATTTGCTGTAATATTACTAGCAAATAATCTGTAACCATTACAGATATATCGTTTGGGAATTTACATGAGAAGAATATGTTCTACTTACATAACTATATGCTGTGATATTACAAGAAAAAGATCTGTAACCATTACAGGCAAAACTCTTGTAATGTTACAAAGAAAACACCTGTTTCTGTTACTCAAATAACCCATGGCATCCCAGTTTCCATGAGTTTTCTTAGTAACCTTACAGATTTTTTTTTACAGTGTAAAGAGAATCTTGTGTTGTAATCCATAATGCCAGTAAGATTGTGCAAGGGTGGAATCACAGGCTGAACAAGCTTACTTAGAGACCTGATCGTTCGATAGCTCATCAAAATACTCAGAGAAGGTTCAAAATACAATGAATATCAAATCGATTGTGCATGTTAGAATTTTCCCATTTTTCATCAAGTGTTGCCGTCAGTCACTCCAAATCCTCGAATCCTTAAGAACGCAAAAGTATTCTCCATCATGGCCTTCCACAATGCTCAATAGATGGCATACTCAAAATGAGTAGATACTGTGTATGTACAGCTAAAAACATAGTGATCTAGGTTGCCAGGAGTATCGCATCAGCAGAGACCATTCTCTTTAATGCTGAATACAGGGTGTTTAAAAATTCATGAGCAAAAATTTAAGGGGTGATAGAAAACATCTAAACAAGCAATTTTTACCATTCAATGCATGGGCGGAGAGCAAGCGATGAACTGCTATACGGGGCTGTGATGGAAAGCATAAAGCTCGACTTTTCTTACACATCGTCATTTCTAGCGTGGATTTCAAAAGACACGTTGATGTACAGAAATCAGGAAAAGCTGTGTTTCTTCATAAAGGATGGTGGTATGGCTGGTAGGATATGGAAGTCAGTGCTGACTTACTTTGTGAGATTATCTGCCGCTTCATTGCTGAAAATCGCAGTACGTGATGGCACCCAAAAAAAGCAGTGGTCTAGTTTTTCTAGGCATAGAAAGAAGGAGTCTGTAGATATTTTTTAACTGCTGGGTTTTTGATTTTCGAATTCATAACTGCAGTGTGACTAGAAACAGAGTCAGAGAATAATGTGGTACGCATTCGCAAACTTGTGACATAAATTATGGCTTGTTTTATGGCGTGTAAACGCTTGATACATAATGTTAAGATCTATGAGTTTCGTTTCCCAGTTGTGTACTTGTCTGTCATTTATATAAGCGCACAAAACAGGGCCTGTTCTTTTGCCATTTTTAGAGTCATCTATTAAAAGAGCTGAGTCCACATAAAAGGCTTGCACCTTAAACTGTAGTTAATATCAAAGAGTTCAGGGTTACGCGGAGGTTCAATATCATTATGTTCATAATCGTTATATGCATAGGTATGTTGCCACAAGGTGGTAATGTACTGGACGTCGAGTTGCAGGCACAAGTCTAACTGGGGTAGACTTGCTAAATACTTCTAAAGCACTCGTTGAAGCTGTTCTGTACACGCGACATATTCTGAATAAGAATAGTCTCTGGCATGTCTGCAGATTATTTATTAATTTCACTGTGGGGTTAAGGCCCATATGGCTGCACTGTGCAACGAAATCCATTGCGCTATTGAATGGCATGGGAACAATTGCTTCTAGAGCTGTGTTTTCCCAAAACTTTCAGAATGTCGCAAACTTTGACAAAAAGTTAGCCACCAGAGAGTTTTGTCTATATCTAGGGTTTATATGTAAGGGTTTATATGTTTCAGAGCCACACAAGAGTCGATGCCATCGGACAGAATTTAGGAGCGGCAAAATATTTATAGAATTTAGAGAAACACAAAGCAGCAAAATTTAGTGATGGAAAAATTTTTAGAATTCAGAGGAGGCACCGAGCAACAGAATTCAAGAGCAGCAAATTTTCTAAAAAATTAAGGCGGCACAGGGAAACAGAATTTGAAACTTGTAGACAGTGCACCGGCTAGCAAAATACCTAGCTGCTGCCCGGGTCTGTTTGAGCTGTTTCGCAATTTAAGTGCCGTTGGATTCAGAATCACAAAAGCTACAATTCTATACAAGAAATAAGCGTCCACAAACGTATTGTCTCAAATGCAAAAAATAAATAAATAATAACAATGCAGTTGCAGTTGCATTACATGTATTCAGGTATTTACAGAAATGTACAAAATGTCTTACGCTGTTGAAATTTTATTTCCGAACAACAATCACTTCCGCAAAAGCTCATTATACGAGAGTATGCTTTTCGAGCTGAAGTGGATTTAAGTGAGCTTTTGAAGTGTACAAGAATTCCTGAATAATATTCCAGTTTCTGTGGCGAGCAAGTTGGCAGCTTAGCGGTGCCAGGTAATATATCAGTATGCCAAAATTTGAGATCGGAAGAAGGCATGAATGTCTGTAGCTGTTTACTCTTCCTTCTTATGTGTGTAATCTCTTTCAAGCCTGGGCAATGT